CTCGTCCTCCTCCTCCACCTCCTCCTCCTCCTCCTCCGCATCCTCCTCCGCCTCATCATCAGCATCATAATCATCAGCATCATCAGCATCACCATCATCATCATCATCATCATCATCATCATCAGCAGCAGCAGCATCATCATCATCATCATCATCATCATCATCACCATCATCATCAGCATCAGCATCAGCATCAGCATCAGCATCATCATCATCATCATCATCAGCAGCAGCAGCAGCATCAACATCATCATCATAATCCACCCCATCCTCCTCAGTCGTCGCATCCTCGGCATCATCTGCATCCGCATCGCCATCATCATCATAATACTACCACTCATCATCATCCGCAGCATCATCGTCATCATCATCGTCATCAGCATCATCATCATCACCATCATCAGCATCATCAGCATCACCATCATCACCATCAGTATCATCATCACCATCATCAGCATCATCATCCGCATCATCATCACCACCACCATCATCATCATCATCATCATCATCATCATCATCATCATCATCATCATCATCATCGTCGTCGTCATCAACATCATCAGCATCATCATCATCAGCATCAGCATCATCATCATCATCATCACCAACATCATCAACATCATCATCAGCATCATCAACATCATCGACATCGTCCCCATCGTCATGAGCAGCATCAGTTCCATCATCAGCATCATCAGCCTCAGACTCAGCGTCATCATCACCATCAGCACCATACTCATCATCATCATCATCATCATCATCATCATCAGCATCAGCATCAGCATCATCATCATCATCGTCATCAGCATGATCATCATCATCACCATCATCATCATCATCAGCATCACCATCATCATCATCATCAGCATCATCATCAGCAGCAGCAGCATCAGCATCAGCATCAGCATCAGCATCATCATCATCATAATCCTCCTCATCCTCCTCAGTCGTCGCATCCTCAGCATCATCTGCATCCGCATCGCCATCATCATCATCATAATACGAACACTCATCATCATCCGCAGCATCATCATCATCATCATCATCATCATCATCATCGTCATCAGCATCATCATCATCATCACCATCGTCAGCATCATCAGCATCACCATCATCACCATCAGTATCATCATCACCATCATCAGCATCATCATCCGCATCATCATCACCACCACCATCATCATCATCGTCGACGTTATCAATAGCATCATCATCATCATCATCATCATCACCAGCATCATCAACATCATCATCATCATCATCGACATCGTCCCCATCGTCATCAGCAGCATCAGTTCCATCATCAGCATCATCAGCCTCAGCCTCAGCATCATCATCACCATCAGCACCATACTCATCATCATCATCATCACCAGCATCATCATCATAATCATCGTCATCAGCATGATCAGCTTTGTCAGCATCATCAGCATCATCATCAGCATCATCATCCTCATCCTCCTCATCAGCAGCAGCAGCTGCCACATTATCATCATCAGCATCATCAGCATCCTCCTCCACCACCTCCTCATTATCCTCCTGTTCCTCCTCCTCTTCGTTCCTCCTCGTTCCTCCTCCTCCTTCCTCCTCCTCCTCTCTCCTCCTCATCCTCATCATCATCAGCATCATCAGCATCATCAGCATCATTAGCATCATCATCATCATCAGCATCAGCATCAGCATCAGCATCACCAGCATCCTCTCTCCTACTCATCCTCATCCTCATCATCATCAGCATCATCAGCATCATCAGCAGCATCATCACCATCACAATCAGCATCATCAGCATCAGCATCAGCATCACCAGAATCATCATCACCACCATCATTATCATCAGCATCATCAACGTCTTTCCTCCTCCCTCCTCCTCCTCCTCCTCCTCCTCCTCCTCCTCCTCCTCCTCCTCCTCCTCCTCCTCCCTCTTCCTTCTCCTCCTCCGTAGCCACTTTGGCTTAAGATGTTCAGCCTGGGGGGCTGCAAGCCTCCAGGCCGAAAGGATACCGCTAGCCCGCGGCCAGCTTCCAAGTTTCTGTGAGCTCCTTGGGGGGCGCCCTCCGCCGAATCGTTTGATTACTGCGGCAGCGCTCGCGATCTCAGCGGCATGGCTGCAAGCCCGCAGTACCCATGGTCGGCGGGCAGCGGCGGCAAGCCCAAGCAGGGCACGGTCGTCGCCAGTCGCGACAAGCCCGACTGGTTCTGCTGCAAGGACTGCAAGAATGAGGGGACGGGAGAGCGCTGGTGGAACCCAGGAACCTCCGACACGCGTACGGAGTGCAAGCTCCACAAGGGCGTCTCGGTCGGCGGACATCGGCGCAGTGGAGGCCCCTCTCGGCGGTCTCCGAGTGTGGCCGAGAACCAAGCGAACCTGAAGTGGAAGCAGCAGATGGACAAGTCCAAGTAGAGCTCGGCCGAGGAGATCAACCTGCTCAAGGCCAAGATCGAGCAGCTCGAGGCCAGGGCCAGGGAGGGGGAGATGGACGTCGACAGCTCCTCGGCCGAGTCGGGCACCACCGTCGGGACCGCAGAGCGCAAGCGCGCCGACTGGCTGGCCAACGAGATCACGGTGCTCAAGGCGCGCGCCGCTGGCACGACCGACTACGATGCCACGATCAACTCCTTCCAGACCGAGCTCGACGAGTTGCGGAGGGAAATCCACTACGCGATGCCCATGGACATCAAGCGGCAGATCCCGAGGCGGGGCGTCAAGCGCAAGGAGGCTGTCGTGTCGAAGAAGACCGAGAATGGTTGTTGAGATGCGTGATAAAGGTACTCGAATGCGTCGATCTTCTGGCCCAGAGCTTGCAAAAATCGAAGTGCATCTTCAGCATGAAGAGCGGGCGCACGAGCGAGTTCAACATCAGGCGGCAGCTGAGAACCAGGCTCGATCGAGTCCACATTCAGCTTGGCAGGCGAATACGCGTGGAAAGAAGCCCATGACTGGTTGCGGGTCGCCGATGTAGCTGAGGTGCACCCAACAGCCCGAGAAATCGTAGTCGATGCCGGAACCGCGAGACTGACGACATTCATGTTGATGATGTGCTCGGCGGTGTCCGCCTGCTGGAACATGCGGCGCATCAGCTTCCGCTCGTCGTGGTTCAGAGGCCGGCTTTGAAAGCAGCATGTGCCGCACGCTTGCCGGTAGAGTGCGGCTGGAGGAGCTTGCGGTCCAGGGAAGCGTGCAGGGCCTTGCCCTTGACGATGCGCTTGATGTCCGAGTAGTCCTCATGCGCTTGATGTCCGAGTAGTCCTCCGCAAGGGTCTGCACGAAACGGCGACCAAGACCAGAGTGTGCCGTAACGTAGTGCTGGAACCGCTCGAAACGGCGTTGTTGGGTACTCATGAGAGGCGTGCCGTGTGAAAGACCCAAGATCGACAATGCGGCATCACGAAGAGGATGGACTCCACTTGCATGTGGAACAGCACGAAAGAGAGGAGGGAAGCGATCAGCAGCACGGCGGCGCCGCCATGATTCCCGCACCGTGGCGCGGAGTGCGACTGCATGGCGGGGCCCGCGCGCACGCTCTGGAATCTCTAGGACCAAAATGGCTACGGAAGGAGGAGGAGGACGACGAAGAAGGAGGAGGAGGGAGGAGGAGGAGGAGGAGGAGGAGGAGGAGGGAGGAGGGAGGAGGGAGGAGGAGGGAGAAGGAGGAGGAAAGAGGATGATGATGATGATGAGGAGGAGGAGGAGGAGGAGGAAAGAGGAGGAGAAGAAGGGAGGAGGAGGAGCCCGTCCCAGAGGGTGCGCCTGGGGCACGCCGTTCGCGCGGCCGGGCGCCGTGAGCGGCGACGCCGCCCACTTGGCGCCCCCAGCGTGCGCGTGGGGCTCCCCTGGGCGCGGGTGGCTTATCTCGGCGCCGCCGCCGTCGCAGTCGCCGAAATTCAGCGGCGAGCCGGGGGGGAACTGAGGAGGGGCAGGCCTTCTCCGAAGGCTGGGAAGTCCCCTGGCCTTCTGAAAAGTTTCTCAATCTTCCCCGAAGACACACAGAACTTCTCCTTCTCACTTCGCCCCCTCGCTCGCCGTCGCCAGAATCGTTCGGCTGGCGCAGCTCTCCCAAGAGGCCCCAATAGCGGCTCAAGAGTTAGCGGCGCGCACGGAAGGGAAGGGAGAGGGGTGAAGGCTTCTCAGAAGGAGGTTGCTTCTTAGAAGGCGCCGGCCTCACATCTGCAGAGAAGGCCCGCGCCTTTTACGAAGCAACGCTGCTTCTAAGAAGCCTTCCCCCCTCCCCCTAACCCCTACGCGCGTAGCCGGCAGAGGGGGCCACAAGACGGCCCGAGAAGGCCCCAAGAGGCACCCGAGACGGCCCAAAATTACCAGCCCGAAACATATCCCTATCCCTATGCTGGGCATCGCCCCATCACGATGCCAATCTTACGGATTCCCTCTGTTTTTGAGGGCGCATCCCTAAGATTGCCATCGCCTTTCGGCGTGTCAATCTTAGGGATAGGCTGGTGACCAAAAGGACCCAAACGGGGTGTCGAAGAGGGGCCCAAACCGCCCAAGAGGCCCCCAAGACGGCCTCCCCAAGAGAAAAGAAAGCTGTGAGGACCTTTTCTCTCGCAAACAACGAACGAATCATCTGGATCAGAGATCCGATTTTTGTCATATAATTTGACATAACACCCAGTCCTAATCGAATGGTAATCACCTGAGGCCTTAGGGCCCGAGGCACTCGAATTCTGGGCGGAGAATCCGTAGCCCGCTCGGGCGCTTCAGGGTGCTCGGGGGAGGGAGGAGGAAAACAAGAAAAGCATGTTCTTGTTTACAGCCACACATGTCGCTGCTTTTTTCCTGTTCTTTTTTTTCCCAACGGAAGCACACGATTTGTATGGTATTTGCTGTTTTCCCCTCCTCCGTTGCCGTTCTACTGCGAGGAAAGGCCGCGGGCCGCTCGGAGACCCCAGGGCGCTCAGGGGAGGGAGGAGGAAAACAGGAAAAACAGGACAACCATTGAAAGCCATGTGTTTTCAGAAGGAAAAACAAGAAAAACAAGAAAAACTTGAAAATCAGCGACAGTCACAAATTTCGTTGTTTTGTCCCGATTTTTCTTTGTGAAAACACATGGTGGTTGATGTTTTTCCTGGTTGTCCTGTTTTCCTTTGTAGCTCTCCTGGGCTCAAGGCGCCGCCACTGCAAATCCCCCCACAATGGATACCCTGTTGAATGCCGCCACATAAGGATTCCCTGTGTGAAGGTTCTACACAAGGATTGTAATTGTGAAGGGCACTGCAAGTCCCCGAGACTTGAATTCCTTGTGTAAGGTCGCCACAGAAGGAATGCGTTTGTAAAGGCTGCTGCACACTGATTTAAATTGTGGAACGCCTGCGCCATAAGTGTACCGACAATCACAAGTATTCCTAACCGTTTCCTTTTTTTCCCCGAAGAAAACAAGAGCTTGTGTCAGTTGTTCATGGTTTTCCGGTTGTCCTCTTTAGCGCTCCTGGGTTCAAGGTACCGCCACCGCAGATCCCCCCACAATGGAAACCCTTTTTCGTAAGGCCGCCACGCAATTCTTTTTTTGGGGGGCAAAAAGCCTGTTACAAAAGGATTATATGTGTGAAGGCCACTGCAGATCCTCTACACTTGAAATCATTGTGCAAGGTCGCTACACAAGGAATCCGTTTGTAAAGGCTGCTACACAATGATTTAAAGTGTGGCGCGTCTGCACCATACAAATACCGACAGTCACAGGTCTTCCTATTTTTTTATAATTTCCCATGTGGAAACGCATGTTTTGTCATGTTGTTCCTGTTGTTTGCCCTGCTTTCCTCTATACCTTTTCTGTGCTCAAGGTGCCGCCACTGCAGATCCCCCCGCACTGAAAATTATGTTGTAAGGCCGCCACAAAAATAATTATGGTTTAAAGGCTGTGGCAAAAGGATTCTAAATGTGGAGGCCACTGCAGGTCACCCACATTTGGAATCCTTGTGTAAGTCGCCACAAATAAAGTCATTGTGTAAAGGCTGCTACAAAAGAAACTTTACTGCGAAACGTCTGCATAATAAGAATGCCATTAATCACGGGTCCTTCTAATTGTGTCAATTGTTCCGGTGTAGACACATTGTTTTCCTGCAATTCCTGTTTTCCAAGTGTTAGTGCGCGTTCGACCCGCGGATCAAACAATTTTTCCCGGTGTGCATCGTTAGCTTTCCTGGGCTGAAGGCGCAGCCACTGCAGATCCCCCCGCAATGGAAACCTTTGTTTTGCAAGGCTGCCACAACATGAATTATTTTGCAAAAGGATTAAAAATGTGAAGGCCACTGCAGATCCCCACGCTTGAAATCCTTGCGTAAGGTCGCCACACAAGGAATCCGTTTCAAAGGCTGCTGCACAATGATTTAACATGTGGAACGTCTGCACCATAAGAATACCGATGGTCACAAGTCTTCCTAACTGTTTCCTGTGATTTTTATTACTTTCAACAAAAAACTTGTTTCAGTTATGCATGGTTTTCTTTTTTAGTTTTCCTGGGCCCAAGATGCCGTCGCTGCAGATCCCCCCATAATGGAAACCTTCTTGTAAGGCCGCCACAGCATGAATTATTCTGCAAAAGGCTGTTACACACGGACTCTAAGTGTGAAGGCCACTGCAGATCCCCTCGCACTTGAAATCCTTGTGTAAGGTCGCTACACAAGGAATCCTTTGCGTAAAGGCTGCTACACAAACATTGTATGCGTGGAGCGCTTGCACCACAATAGTACCGACAGTCACAGGTTCTTTCCATGTGGAAACACATGTGACTGGGAATCTCGCGTGGCCAGCGCGTGGAACCCATGTCGTTGCTGCTGCGAACGCTGCGTGGGCGGCGTTCGGCGCCGACGCGGCGCGGCGGCCCCCTGGCGCCGCCGCGGGGTCTTCGCGGTGACAAGCCGAGGCCGCGCGGGGCAAGTGCGTGAAATTCGAACACCGTCGCGCCGTAGGTGGGGTGGTGTCGCCTCGTTGTCGGTAGACCCTCCTCCCTGTCTTCCCGGACGCAGCGGCGATGGGAACGAGGGGGAGGCTTTACAACGTGTAAAAGCAACATCATCCCAAACCCAACCAAAACCCAACCGAGACCCAACCAGAATGCGGCCAAAACCCGTGTAAGTTGAGCACCACTTACACGGGTTTTGGCCGCATTTCCAACCAGAACCAACCACGAACCAACCAGGGCCATTCGGCTGGTTGGCGGCTGGTTGGCGGCTGGTTGGCTGCCAACCAGCCATCCAGCCAACCAGCCAGCCAGCCAACCAGCCAACCAGCCAACCACCCAGCCAGCCAGCCAAACGGCCAGCCAGCCTGCCTGCCAGCCTCCCAGCCAGCCAGCCAGCCAGCCAATCAGCCAGCCAGCCAGCCAGCCAACCAGCCTGCCAGCCAGCCCAGCCAGCCAGCCCAGCCAGCCCAGCCAGTCAACCAGGGGCCAGCCAGCCAGCCAGCCAGCCAACCAGAAGCCAACCAGGGGCCAGCCAGCCAGCCAGCCAGCGAGCCAGCCAACCAGCCAGACAGCCAGCCAGACGGCCAGCCAACCAACCAGCCGGACAGCCAGCCAGCCAGCCAGCCAGCCAGCCAGCCAGCCAGCCAGCCAGCCAGCCAACCAGCAAGCTAACCAGCCCGCCAACCAGCCAGCCGACCAGCCAGCCAGCCAGCCAGCCGACCAGCCAGCCAGCCAGCCAGCCTGCCAGCCAGCCAACCAGAAGTCAACCAGGGGCCAGCCAGCCAGCCAGCCAGCCAGCCAGCCATCCAGAAGTCAACCAGGAGCAAGCCAGCCAGCCAGCCAGCGAGCCAGCCAACCAGCCAGACAGCCAGCCAGACAGCCAGCCAGCCTGCCAGCCAACCAGAAGTCAACCAGGGGCCAGCCAGCCAGCCAGCCAGCCAGCCAACCAGCCAGACGGCCGGCGAGCCAGCCAGCCAGCCAACCAGCCAGGCAGCCAGCCAGCCAGCCAGGCGGACAGCCAGCCAGACAGCCAGCCAGCGAGCCGGCCAACCAGAAGTCAACCAGGGGCCAGCCAGCCAGCCAGGCGGCCAGCGAGCCAGCCAACCAGCCAGACAGCCAGCCAGACAGCCAGCCAGCCAACGAGCCAGACAGCCAGCCAGCCAGCCAGCCAGCCAACCAGCCAACCACCCAGCCAGCCGACCAAACGGCCAGCCAGCCTGCCTGCCAACCAGCCAGCCAGCCAGCCAACCAGCCAGCCAGCCAGCCAACCAGCCAGCCAGCCAGCCAGCCAGCCAACCAACCAACCAGAAGCCAACCAGCCAGCCAGCCGACCAATCAACGAGCACCCGCCAGCCAACCGGCCAAAGCCAGCCAGACAGAAGCGAACCAGAAGCCAACCAGCCAGCAGCCCAGCCACACAACCAGCCAGCCGACCAGCCAGCCAACCAAGCGGCCACAAGCCAACCGGAAGCCACCCGCCAGCCAGCCAGCCAGCCGACCAGTCAGCCAAAGAGCCAACCAGCCAACCAGCCAACCAGCCAGCCAGCCAACCAGCTCCCCAACCATCCAGCCAGCCAGCCAGCCAACCAGCCAGCCAGCTAGCCATCCAGCCAGACAACCAGCCAGCCATCCAACCAGCCAGCCAGCCAGCCAACCAGCCAGCCAGCCAGCCAACCAACCAGAAGCCAACCAGCCAGCCAGCCGACCAGTCAATGAGCAGCCCGCCAGCCAACCGGCCAAAGCCAGCCAGAAGCCAACCAGAAGCCAACCAGCCAGCAGGCCAGCCACCCAAGCACTAGGCTGCGAGAAGCAGAGCAGCCAGCAGACGGAACCCAGGGGGAAGGCTGAACGGCATGCCCCAGCTGGGCTCAAACAAATACACCAGGCAGTGCGCAAATATCACGTTCAGGAAATCAGAAAGCATCCATGGGAACGTAGCCCCAGGGCCACGACATAATCCTGCTCAAGAACAGCAGCAGCGGAGAGCAGAGCGCCGATGGGGACTTAGCCCCAAGGCGGCACTGAGAGCATCATGAACGCAACGCCTCCTAAGAAGAGCACGCCACTAACTGGTGCGCTGAAGAATGGGCACAATATCCAGATGGCAGGTTCCCCGACGGGCTGTCGCGAATAGAAGTGGCAGAAGGGAGCCGCTGACAGGGGACCACACGGCGCGGCCGATACCTGGACACAGACGGGGTTTGACAAGCACGAGCACTGCACTCGCCAGCAAGAGGTTCTCTGACCTGCGCAGCACAAATGTACGTAAGGCAGCGGGCGCCGAAAGGACGACTGCAAGGTATGCCTGGGCCGCCAACGAGATGCACTGAAGAGAGACACAAGCGCCGTAAGCTTCACGATGTGGAGACACAGACCGAAGAGAAAGGGCCCCCCTTGCGCATTTAGCAGAAACGGCACTGGACACCTTAGCCTCCCGCGGGATAAGGCCCTGTACTATAGAAAAGGTTGCACATGAAATCAGAGAGACCCGCCTGGGTGTACCCTGTCAGATGCACGAGGGCAACATGGAAGACCACTTGTAACACCAGGCAACTGGTGACCAGGATCACGCACCCGCCCACGCGACACCCAGAACGGCTCCACGAACTGCACAACGAGGGCGAAGTAGTAGAACAGCAAGTAGTACCAGGCAACCTGGTGACCATGCTGGCACAACGCTCCCAAGCAGAACGGGATGATGCCGAAAAGGAAGATGCCGAAGGTTGAACTGGCCATCCACGACCTCAACACACGAGTGGGTACGGTCACGAACTGCACAACGAGAGCGTAGTGGTAGAACAACCAGTAGCACCAGTGACCTGCTGACCAGGTTCATACAACGCGCTCAAGCAGAACATGTTGGTGCCGAAGGCGGACGCCGAAGGCTGAAACCGAACTTGAACAGCTGCAGCAGAACGAAAGTGAAACGCACAACGGTCCACCGTGCTTGTGCTGAGGGCGACGCATTGCCACCAGGAGAACTCCTCGCCATCGCTCGGACGTCCGTTCCCCGTGCACTTTTCTATGCGGTGCGTGGATTTTCTCCCCCCCAACGACGTCGTTGTAAAGCCGAACTCTGATCGTCTGTTTGTCTGATCCTGGGCGCCGCGCGCACGCTTGTAGCCGCCGAAGCCGTCGCGCCCCCGGATCGCTCGCGATAGGCGCTGGCCTCCACCGCCTCATCGCCTCCTCCGTCGTCGTGATCCCCCTCTTGCCGCCCTCCTCCTCCCGCGTCGCTTCGCCTCGCATCGCTCGTCTAGCAAGACCGGCCGCCGCTGGCCCCAGGGCGCGCGCCTGCGAAGCAGTCGGCATGAGCGCATCCACTACAGAGAAGGCCGCGCTCAGAGCATGGCAAAGAAACACATCTTTTCGAACGTTGCCCCCCGGTGCCAGAAACGTTCAAAACTACGAGAAATAAGCGCATCTCCATGGCTTTCGCGCGCTTCGCAAGCTCGGCGCTGAAGGTCCGGGACGGGGCGGGGCAGGGCCCGAGGCATCTGACCTCGCCCGTCGCGCGAGACCCGAGATCCCGCGGAGCAGCGGCAGCGCGTCTGCAACGACTTGGGGGGGCCACAATCGAGCCTCATGTTTGCCTGCGTCCCGCCGAAGGCCGCTACTCTCGAGCCCCCCGCCTGGCGCCCCATCGCTGGCGCCCAGTAGGTCAGGGGATTGATCGATCCTAGACGGAGGCCCAAAGATAATTTCCTCGAGCAAGGCGCCCGCGAAATTTTCGAGGCCCAGATGCACCATTGGAGGCCCCGTGGGGACATCATCTGGCACCGTCGCCCACTGACAAGCCCCCCCCCCTCCTCGTCGTAGTCCTGGAACCTAGCAGGCCATCTATCGCCTGGAGGTCGGAAGACCCTCGCAAGCGACCGCGCGGCGCAGGGGCCCCCTCGGGGGCAGCCGCGCCCAGGCCCGAGGAAGAGCGGCCCATCAGAAGACGGCGAGAGACGCCCCGAACGTCTGCGTCGCCAGCGGCAGAGACGAACATCGGCGGCTCGATGGAGCACAGCTCGCCTGATCTAGCCTGAACCACTCTGTCGAGGCAAACGCGCGCGCAAGATCTTTGAGCGAGTCGCACCAATAGCAACCTGCCTTCGACAGCCTCCACGACGCGCGCGCGCCAGCGATGACCGCGCCCCCCTCGCCTCCGAAAGCGCAGGGGACCACGGTCACAATTAGAGCCCGCGCACTTCGGCCCGCGCCTCACGAGGCCCCCTCGAAGAAACTCTTGGAGACAGGGTCGAGGCCGTGAGCGATTATGTTCCTCGCGGCCCAGGAAGAGCGCTCTTCGGCATTGCGAATCCTCTGCTGCAGTCCCAAACAGACGGGGCCGTGCCCCAGGAACGCATCATGGCGAACACTTGTGGATCCACTGCCAGGCCCCCGCGGAATCTGCGATGGCGGCGTCGGCGCCCAGCCCGGCCCGACTGTCGTTGGACGCGGCCTCCGCGGGCGCGCGCAATGATGACTGCCATCGCGCCAGGGGCGGAGACCGCCTCGGTGCGCTTCGTCGCCCCCCCGCCCCGCCCCGCGTCGACGGCGGCCTGCGTCCGCGCCCCCTGCGCGCGTTCAGGTTCGGATTCAGGCGTCAGTGGAGGTCGCCGCCATATATGTTGCGCGTCCGACGTCTCCTGCCGCGCAGCCGGGCGCGCGGCGAGCCCTCCCACATTGCCCGCCAGCCCCAAGACCCCCATCCACTCATCAATTCTCGGTGGCAGGCCATCCATTCTGGCATAATCTTTCCGAGCCCGCCCGCGCCCCCCCCTGCCAGTCGGGGCGAGAGACGACTGCCTGCTGCAAGATCTCTGACGCGCCGCGCCCGCTGCATCCCCCCGCGAGCTGCCCCTGCACGCTTCCATTGCCTTTCATCGCGACAGATTCGCTTGCAAGGCCCTGAGCTTGTCGCAGCAGGCGGCGAAGCAATCGTCGGACGCGACAGGTCGCAGACCAGCCCTCGGCCCGCGACGCCGCCTGAGCAGCTCCAGTCTGCGCGCAGCCATCCGGGGCCTTCTATTCTAGAATCGGGCCCGGCCCCTGCGCGGCCAGACACAGACATCTCTAAATGCCCGATTCAAATGATACAACGTCACATCAGCTTCAGGTCCTCTGCGCGCCCATGCACGCCACTGAGCTGCCGGCGCGCGCCCAGCTTCTCTCGCGATTCCCTCCCCCAGCGGCCCACCTCCCATATTCTTCATCAACAGATTCCGATCCCAATGTGTTTGTCTGCGCTCACGGCCGTCCGATTAGGCCGCGGCCGAGGGGCCTTGCGGCGCGGCCGCGCGCGGCGCCCCCATGTTCAACGCTACATGAGAATGACCGCGATAATCGCGACATGTAATGGCCAGGGCCCGCTTGCCCAAACAGTGCATGGGACTCTCCGCCATCGCGCCCTCACTCCACTCCAACACCATGGCCACGAAATCAATCATTGACGCTCCACCTGCCGAACCGCAGAATGCACGAAAAGCCCGCCCTCTCCAAGAACCCCCCCGAACGATTCACCAGCGCCTAGTCTGTGATATTCTCGCGTCCGAACTGGTCCGACCGCCATCGCGAGTACTTTCTGCCGGTCTCCGCTCAGCTTCGACGCCCCCAACCCATCATTCACATCCCCCATCGCAATCGGCGACGCTCTCCTCGGAAGCGCCCCAAGCATTTCCCGCGGCCAGTCCTACATCTTCCTGCGTGGGGACAAGTGCTGATTGACTTGGCTCGACTCGTTCGGCTCGGGTGGGGCATCAGACGCGACCACGTTAAGATATATGCCCATCTCTCGCCATCTCCACGGCCAACCCTCGACCTTGTTGAGCCTTCTCGATGCGACGAATGCGCCTGCGAGTCCACATTGGAGGCGCAGCGACGGCGCGGCCCGCGGAGCGATTGGATAATCCCCCTATTCGCCAGCCTGCGTGCACGACATCTCGAAAGGCCACCCTGGAGACTCGATTGCTCTTGTTTTCAATGTCCTTGATCTGCGTGCCAGCCAGACCGGCAATGTCTAATCGATCGAATTCATCTAGCAACTCGAGCACGTGACCCCCGTCGGCGCGCCGCGGGTTGAAGGAGAGTGGGCGGAGTCCGAGGCGGCGCCGGGGCTGGCCCGATAGCCTAAAGGCATGTCCCATAGGAGTGGTTTCGCCTGCTTGCTGGGCTGCGCAGCTCTGCTAGTCCAGAGCGGCAGCTAGAAAAAGAGGAGGAGGAGGAGTGGGAGGAGCCCCCCCCCCCCGCCGGCAGCCGCGACTGTTAGTTCAAGGTGAAATAGAGCGGAGGGCGACGATGGAACGAGGGAGAAGAAGAGGAATACGAAGCCAATGGGGACGCAACGACCACCCCAAAGCGGAAAAACGGCAACGCGGGAGGAGCGGACGCGAGAAAAGAAGCGACAGGAAGAAGAGACAACACGAAAAGAAGCAAATCGACAAGAAAAAGTCCAGGACCGAGGCCCCTCAATGCGACCGCGTGCGAGTTCTTGCGACTGGCACGAACGCCACCCCATATGACTCCAGGAATTATCACGGAGAGCACCTCGTACTGGTCCGATGAATGGAACCCCCACCGCTACAGAAGATCCCTGACAGAGACACTGCCAAGGAGGGCGTGCCACAACGCCATGAAGGGGCACGCGAGACAAGACCCTTCTCAATGACGCCCACGATCAGCTTAAAATGCAAAAGCCAGGCCCGGGGCAGAAAACGAGATCGGGCCCGTAAGCTCACCAACCAGCACAGAGTGCCGCGCCCCCTCCTGTGACGCGGGGCCACGCCGATGTGGAAGGTGGCAGCAAGCCCTACAGATGTGCCCAGTGAGTCCAGTGCGCGAGCGGAGCCCCTAGATGCGCACCTCATTTTCGAGAGGGGAAATGTTGCTGCATGTGCCCTTCCTCGCACAACTTCGCATGTAAATACCAACTACGTCCTCAATCGACGGCGCGCTAGAACGCAAACCTCTAGCAGCGGGAACAGCCTGTCGAAGGTCAGCAAGCGCATGGTGGCGCGGGCACTCGGACGCCGCATGTGTGCAGTCTCCACTGCGGCATATAGACATTCCTGAAACAGAGAGCTCCCGCCGTCATCGCAGGCGCCAGCGGAATCGTCGGCGCCATCAGCAGCAGTGCGCTTCTGACAGAGGGCACCATCAAGCTCCGCACGAAGATCAAACTCCAGAGAACCCACAGATAGATCAGGCCCAACCCGAAGATCACTGGCTGGCTCCACCCGAAGCTTCGGCTCCTTACGAAGATCCCAATCAAACTCCACACGGATATCACCCACACCAGTCAGCTCACTAGTGTCAAGATGGCCTCGTCACCATAGCCATACTGCACCAAATCAATCACATCCTCTTGTGCGTCATCCCGAAACCGACCAGCTTCGTGCAGGGGCCGTGTAGCCCCTCAGCCCTCAGCCAAGGCCCAGTCGAGGTCGCCACCCTGAGGAAGAGTTCCCCGACGATCAGCATCCCCATGAAGACCATCCCGAAGCACGTGAGAACCAGCTCCAGGACCGCCCTCCCCGGGATGCGAATCACCACCCAAATTCTCCACGCCAGGTTCGTACAGCACCGCGTCAGCTCTGGTCGCAAAATGCATTGGGATGGGCTCAGCCGCTTCCGATTGGAATGGGGAGTGTGGCACCGCGGGGAGAGCGCCTGAAGCAGGGGAGGGATCCCCATGACCTGGCCAGCGCCGCGGCCGTTTAACTTCTCCCCGAAGCTGCCCGGGACCAGCCCCGCCTCCGCCCAAAGGGTCATGACCACCATGTTCGCGCCTGAAGACAAGCTTTGCACGTCGACCATGGACGCGTCCACCTCCACCCGTCCATCATGAGGGATTTTACTTCCAGGTCCACCATCGCATCCGTCGCCCTAATCTTATACAGGTCTTCTTCCCCACCACCTGGGACAGGTCGAAAAGACATGGACACATTCGTAACTCCACTTGGATGTTCGTGCCCATGATCCACAACTATACGTGATGGCGAACTCCGAAGGAGGAGTGCAGATAGCGCCACAGCTGTGCCATTCCTCATGCCAGGGCCCCTGCGCGGTAAGACTTTGGTCAGCACCGCCATCCGATCAGGAAACGGTGACGCCGATGATCGCGTTTGGTGCACGAGCTGGAGCTGGCCCATGGCCTGGCGCAGGCGCGCCGCCGACGCCGTCGGCCGAGTGGGGGGGGAGGGGCGAGGGAGGGGGCAGCGCGCGCCGCCTGGGGCCGCCGCGGCGCACGAGCACCTGCAACGTCTGAAGGAAGAGGAAGAGGATGAGGAGGAGGAGGAGGAGGAGGAGGAGGAGGAGAAAATATTATGTGTTTTTCTTCCTCCCCCTCTCACTCACTTTCTTTTTTTTGTTGCCTTTGCATTCGTAGCCAAGCTGCCAGGCGAACTTGAAAAACACAACTGGACATGTTGGAATTTCCTTTGTTTCAAATGCCTTCCGGGCTTCGTTTGGGGTTCTGTTGGGCCTCTGTGGGGTTTCTTGGGGGCCTCTTGAAGCCTTCTGGCAGTCTCCTGGGGCGAAGAACTCGGGTTCTCGATTAGCGTTCCGGATCCTGGGCCACGGACGCCTTCCAGCGTCGGGAAGCGGAACGGGCGGCCCCCTCAACCGGAAAAACACTTCTATCCGACGGCTAACATCCAAGGATCTGCGTCGGCGAAAATACGGCGCCCCTGATCGCCCAGACCTGCTTGAACAGAAATCACCAGACGACCCTGGGGAGGGTTGTGTCCGCCGCGTTCATATTGTGAACGGCAACGATCTTTGCAATGTCCACCTATCACGGGCGCTGGTTTGAAACCGTCGCCCCGTCGGGGGCCACGCGGAACCGGTGCCTAAAGGACACCGTGGTGTTGAATATGATGAGGTGATAAATTCGTACGGCGGTTATCATGGACATGCCAAAATTCTCCAATGCGGAAGGATCAACTTCTCCGTTCACAAGAACCTCCAGATCGCCCAGATCGGTTGAACCGACCCAGGGATCCTGATGGGCCCGTTCAGGGGGGAGCACCGTCCCGAGGCGAAAGCCCACGCGAGCTAAGCCAGCGCGGGATCGCGTCAGCGGCCGAAGTCTCCTTAGTAATTTCCTTGGCAATGTGGAGGAGTCTCATGACCGAGTAATCTGGCGCATTGAACAAGCCCGAATGCGCCTCTGGGTATTGTATCTCCCCTCGCATAGACTCCCCAATGACCCTCAATGACGTGACGTGCAACAGCGGCCCGTGATTGTCGGACATACTATTGAACTCGCACGAAGCCATTGCCTTAGACGAGGCTGCACAGGCATTGGCAACCACAGCCGCCTAGCAAAAGGCGAACGGCCGTCAGCATGCTGACCTGGGCCCCGGGGACAGACAAGAAAATTATCACGAAGACCCCCTTCTTCGACGTCCTTTTCGTCGGTCTCCCTACCGTCCTCCTTCGTCGTCGTCGTTATCATTATTATTACGATTATTCTTACTATTATTATTATTATCCTTCTTCTTCTTCTGCTCCTTCGTCGTCCTCTCAGCATTCTCGAAATAACCGATTTTATTTTAATAAGCGAATATGATTACTACTCTGATCAATATTATTATTGTCCTCCTCCTCCTCCCGCTCCTCCTCCCTCCTCCTCCCTCCTCCTCGTCCTCCTCCACCTCCTTCTCCTCCTCCTCCTCCTCTTCCTCCCCCTCCTACCCCGCCGCTTCGTTCCTCCTCGCACTCGTCCTCTTCCATCTCTTCCTCCTTGTCCCTGTGCTTGTCTTCCTACTCGTTGTCCTCCTGCCCCCGCGCAGCCGTCACCGTCATCCAACGCTGTCATCCTCGACACCCGCCGCCTTGACGACACCACCATCTGGGTCTTCTCCTCTTACGAGCCAAATGGACTAAATCGGCGCTCCCCGTTCTTTTCCGATCAGGCTTGCCGCAAGAAGTTGGATAGTGGTCCGACAACCTAGCCCATCCAAATGTCGACCGCTCGATCGATCAATCACAGTGGCAGCGTCGATCGCAGCATTCGCGACCAGGGACAGGGGGAGGAAAGGGGAGCGCTCCAAAAGGAGGCTACAATTGCTGCACCTTCTCGTGCCACGCAGCCGCGCCTAGTGACATACTCACAGTGATCCGTGCAGAGGGCAGGTTCGTAGAAAAACGGAGAGAGGGGCGGGGAGCGATGCTTCCACATCATGCTGAAGGCACATCACGAGTACCCAGCTTGGCTTAGCAAGACGTCCCGATAGGGACGGCACGTGCAGTGAGATACTGGCACGACTGCATCGGCATGATTGTTCGTCGTCCAGCTCGGCTGCCTACCGTAAACTTCCTCGGGGGAGGCAGGGGAGGGAGGGGGATCACCCGCAGCGAGCATGTCCATGCCCACGCCCTCGCGGTCTGGATTCTGGGGCGCGAGCCCGTGGATGCGCGGCCGCATGGACACGCTTCGCGCGGGGTGCTCGCGAAAGAACCATGTACCGGTATCCGTAGGGTCGCGGCCCAGTGGACCGGCCCGCGAGGCCGTGGACATGGATACTGTCGCGCGAACAAAACTCTCAACGTCGGCGCTGTTCGGAAGGGCGAGAATTATCGGCCTCGAGCTTATCTCCAGCCCCAGAACTGACAAGCTCCAAGGCGACGACCACCTTCACGATGCACCCTCAGACACTAAGAGAATCTTTAAGATCTGCACCGAGACAAGGACGAGAGCGGTACGAATCCCTCCCTCCCTCCCTCCCTCCCTCCCTCCCTCCCTCCTCCTCCTCCTCCTCCTCCTATCCTCCTCCTCCCTCCCTCCTCCTCCTCCCTCCCTCCTCCTCCTCCTCCTCCTCCTCCTCCTCCTCCTCCTCCTCCTCCTCCTCCTCCTCCTCCCTGCAGGCTGGTACGAGAGCGGGGACGAAGACTTGGGCACCCCCGGCGCCCCAGGCGTGGCCGGCAACGGCGCGGCCCCCCGAACCTCGGGCCGCAGCCCCTCGGTGCCCGGCTGTTGCCAGAAATGCCCCTGGCCCAGGGTGCCCCCAGGAGACCCCCCGCCCTCCAGAGATAGGGGGCCACATGCGAACCCTACCCCTACCCCCCACGATTTCTGAAGGGGGGGTGGGGTTCACTTCGCGCGGGAGCTCCCGAACGAAGTGAACCCCACCCTCCCCCTCAGAAATCGTGGGGGGTAGGGGTAGGGTTCGCATGTGGCCCCCTAAGAGAACCCCCCACGAGGTCCAGAGGGCCCCAGGGGCTCCAGATTGAAGCGACAAGCCGAGGGCATCTTGGCCCGGGTGCACCTTTGGCAACCCTCGAGACGTTGACTTGAATCCCCCAGACTTTGGGCCGACGCCCGCCGCGATCGTGCTCGGCCGCCCGACGGCCGATCGGGCACAAAAAACTGATGCGTTGGTATCGCCGCGCCGGCCGCCGCCCGCCGGCGTAGCCTGTCCCGCCCGGGACGAGCATCCACCTGTCCCGCGGCGAAACTTCTCGGGTCCTTAGCGCGACGCCCCCGATCCCGACGCGTGCGAGAATGCAACGGGACGCCGGACTTCGTCACCAGAAGGCGAGCACGAGACGTTCCCCTAGGATCGCGGCGTGCGGCGTCGCGGCGCCATCCGAATGGTAATATGAACACTGTATGGGTGTCATGTAGGGTTGATTGGTTTTCATCTGGGAGCCGTACCACTTTTTCGCCGACGATGCAGGTGGCATACATCTGGGAACATCTCACTTAGCACATGGCAGCGTGATGATCATCGCATGGGGATAACATTTTCATCGCGTGGCAACCGTGCCGCTAATATGTGAGATCCGTGAAATATTCACAAAATGGTCGCACAAATACCGCGTGCGAGACGCAGGGCTTCCGTTTCGAAATAAATCAAGTTTAGCATGACAGGCACATGGTCTTTCGAATGATACATGATACCCGTGTGGTTATGTCGCATGGCTTCCATATGAGAAGCGCATCGGCATCTTACGAGAACCATGCGGCTCCCAAAGGCGAGCCATCTGTTCGTCATCTAAGAAGCGAACTGTACTGTGCTGGCATGGCTTCTTCTTCTTCACCACCCAGCACGCTGGGTGCGTAAGACTTACAGGAACAAACCTGGCCCGCCCGCCCGCGCTCCTAACGGCGGCCACAACAGCATCCGTACTGGAAGTACGTAATGAGCACACAGCACTAACGTACAAGCATAGCATACTCAAGGAGAGCGTACATGACACATGCAAAGAGAGCATACATACAGAATCGAGCTACTGCGCACCACGAACAACATCCTTGCATAACAGACGTGTGCAACACGTAGTGAATCCATACATTAACGACAGCCAGGCGAAAACACGCACACGCATCATTCATGTCCACGCTTCTATATGTATACGCACAGATGCGCTTGTCAAACGCGAACGAGCCAGCACACCTGTCATGCATAAAGAACAAGCGCGGACGACGTGCATAATGACCATTGTGATCAAACATGTTCACAGAATTTGCATCGCGAACGTGCGTCAAAACCACACCCACACACTAGCATCCACCATCACCAAACACAAACACCATATACAAGCTGCAACGGCAAACATACGCAATGAACGCGCACACGGAACACACGCACCTAACTCACAGCAAGACATACACACATGCATATGTATACATATAGATGCATACATACGGATCTACATCTATGTAGATTTATGTACACACGCATATATAACACGAGGCTCACACCATGAATAGTAACACATGCAGAATGCAGAGCGGACGCGTAAGGCTTGCTTGCACACCTCAACGAAGTAAACGACCATACGCAACTAGCACGCTTCGAGAGCTGGCGCACGTACCATACAGTCAGAGCAGTCACAGTCCAGACACCCCAGTGAATCTCACCAGCACTCTGGACAAGTTCATGGCGCTTCCCTTGTCCGACACCCTCATGGAGGGGCAATGGCTACACGTAGGATGAGGAATCGAGCACCTCTCGTGCACCTCTTGGGCCCGCGGTGGCAGTTTAGGGGCCACTTGGGTTCAATGTTTGGTCATAGATATAGAGCTTATGTAAAACAAAACATGCGTCAAACAAAAGGCTCTCCCATGCAGTCCTCGATCTCCCCACTTTTACTGCCCCCCCCCCCGTTTCGGGCGTTGGCGCGACTGGGTTTCGTGGGACCTGGTTTGGTGACGTACCTGGGGTCGCCCCCCCGCCCCATTCCACTAAACGAAACTGCCATCGCCCGAAGAAACACCAGCTCGGCAGACTCTGGTCCATTTGTGAGGCTTCGGGCCCCAGTCCCCCCTGGATCCACTTACAGCCGAGGTTGATTGGGGAGGACACGCGAGAGGACGCAAGACCTTTCCGAGGGCCACGCTGCATAGGAGTGTAGAAGGCGTGGGTCGCGAAGCACAGGACACCAAGGCACCCCCAATTGACACGGTCGATCTACTAATCAGCCTCGACTGTACCTGGGGAGCGCGCCTTGCACTCCCTCGGCACGCCCGCGACGGACTGCGTGTTCTGCGCGAATCCCGCCTCTTCGCCTTTCCCGCGCCCTCCTCCGACTCTACGTATGCCTCAATTGGTTCCTGGCGCGTCCCGCCCGTAGCCCGACCGGCGCCTGCGCCAGCTTCGCCTCGCTTGCGCCCGCTGACTCGACAAGTACCCAGGGTCCTGGCTGCCTCCGAACATCTACTGCCCACCCTGCTGCCGTCCGCCAAACCTCCCACGCCGTCCGCGTCCGCGGCAGGCGCGGGGCCCCGCAGCTCCTGGAGATCCCCTCCGATGTGGACACCCCGCGCCGCGGCCTGCGCCCTGCTTGCCCCGGATGCCCAGAGTCAGAAGACCGGCCGCCCTTCCACAGAAGAATACTAAAGCGGCATCCAGCGCCGATCCGAGAGGTACGCGTGGAGCTCTTAAAATTTATGTTCATGCCGTTCTACTTCCCTGATTCCAGGTCCCGAAGACGGGGTCCTGGAAGAAAGTGGGATCCGGCACCCCTAGCAAAAGCACCGGCCAGGTCCGGGCCGTTCTCCACCCTTCGGTTTCTCCTGCCTGGGACCAGAAGCGTCCCAAATTGCAAGGCACTTTTATTTCTGCATGCGAGACGACAACCCCGCCATCGATCGCCCCACAGCACTACAGCAGGGCTGCACCGCAGCGTGAAAACTCCGGAGCGCCAGGTCATTGAGGGACGGTGCCCGTACCAGTCGAAGAGACTAGCATCGCGAGAAACTCGAGAGAGAACTGCGTAAACATCATGTCTCGGAGGCCCGCATGGACCTCGGTGGCAGTATGCTTATGCCTTTCCTGTTCTTCGACTCCAGAGTCCTGAGGTTCTGATCTGTTCAGCGATTCAGCACTAGACGAAGAACGCGTATATACACATCAGACGTATATATTATCATATCTACTCGAACCATCGCGCGCGCTTCGCGCGAGCTCACGTTCTAGATAGGCTTCATGGGTTCACTCATGGAATATCATGTTGATCGTTTCTTTCATCCAGGGACTCTCTTGGGGGCCCTGCGCAACCCTCGGAATCGCATAGAAGGTGAATGCGGAAACGGAGAAATCATGAATTCCCGGTAGGTATTCATCGATTTGGGGCCCTCAAAGGCTTCCTGGGTCTTATTATGGGAGCTGAAGGGGAGCCTCAATTTTGGTCTGTTGTGCAACAACAAACTCTGTTGCACAACAGTCTCTGTTATGCAAGAGTAGACAGGGGGGCGACCTTGAACAACAAGGATTTGTGGGATTCCCTGTTGATTTCAAGTTGCCGTGCTTAGGCTGTGGGTTAGAAGTTCTCTGGATGCAGGCCACGGTTTGTTGGGATGCCTCTCGTGGTCTCCGTGCAAAAAGAAGTGGGGGGTGAGTTGGAAAAAAGGTATTCCAACATTCACTTTGTTCAACGCATGGGATCATGGGATCTCGGTTTCTACGGTGGTTTCAGGGGCAGCCAAGAGGACACGAAGACGATCCAAGAGAGTGCAAAGGCATCGTCAGAGAGTTCAACAGCATTCCCGACAAATCGTTGCATGTGACCCGGAAGTCTTGATGGAGCTCGAGGAAGAGGACAGGGAGTATAAGTCCCAACTAAGAAAAAATGGAATCTCTGGAATCCCTTTTTTGGAAAGTCTCTCCGTATTTGACGTCTCTTGGAGGCTTTCTGGGAGCCTGGAGAGCCGACCGAAGGCTATCTTGGGTTGCTTGGGAGTGTCTTGGGCCGCTCTTTTACGTTGGGGAAGCTTCTTGGGGTCGTCTTGGGCTGTTCTTGGGCGTTTTGAGGTTCCCCTGGGGCCCGAACGCGCGGTACTGGGAGCGTTCCGCAGATGTTCGGGGGAGGTGTGGGACCCCTGGGAGGGGCGGCGGTGTATTTGTTCAACTTGAAAAATACGGGAATCTCTTGAATTCCCTCTTTTCTTCAAGTGCCTCGGTCTTTGAGCGTTGGAAGCGGGAAAACGTGAGAAGACGAAAAACGTAGAAAAAAACAATTGGAAATCAACGATTTGACCTTCCCCGGGCTTTCTCGGGACGGCTCTCGAAGCTCTCTTGGGCTGTTTGGGGGGCCTCGTCGGGGCTTTTGTGGGGCCTCTCAGGGGTCTGGGGTGTGTTGGGGGCCTCTGGGGGCTCCCGGAGTCCTCTCGGAGGTCTCTGGATGCCTCCTGCTCCCGCTCTTGGGCCCATCTTGGGCCTGTTCTGGGGTGGTCTGGAGCTTTCCTGGGCACCTCTTCGGCAATATTGGGGCCTTGTTGGCCTGTCTTGGGGCCGTCTTGGGGGCCTCTTGGGCGGTCTTTGAAAGGTCTTGGGGGCCTCTTCGGCCGTCTTGGAGCGTTGGAAGCATGAAATGGTGAGAAGGCCAAAAACCTATGGAAAAAACACACACGTGACAATTAGCGAATTTAGGTTCTCCAGGCGCTCTCGGGAGGCCTCTCGGAGCTCTCCTGAAGTCTCTTAGAAGCTTGCTGGGAGCCTGGAGAGCCGTCCGAATGCTATATTGGGTTGCTTGGAAGCGTCTTGGGCCGCTCTTTTACGTTCGGGAAATTTCTTGGGGTCGTCTTGGGCTGTCCTTCGGCGTTTGAGGGGCTCCCCGAGAGGCCTGGAAGCGCGGTACCGGGAGCGTAACGCACATGTCACGGGGAGGTGTGTGACCCCCGGGGGGGCGTATTATTCTTACTGCTAATATTGTTGTTATCATTATAATTATTGTGGGGGGGAGAGGAAGAGAAGGAGTTGGAGTTGGGGGAGGGAGAAGGGGAGGGGGAGGGGATGATAAGGAAAGCAGCGTTATTTTCCGATACACTTAAGCATCGGGAACAGGAGGAAGAAGGCATGGAGGAGCCCGAGCAAAAAGGAGGCAAGGAGGAGGGGAGGCTCCAGAGGAGGCTCTGGAGGAGAAGGAGTTGAAGTTGGGGGGAGGAGGAGGGGGAGGGGGAGGGGACAAGCTAGGTGCGCTCGCGTCATATCTGACATCCTACCCCTCCCTCCCATCCCTTACCATGGCGTGCTCGCACAGTCGGATGTCGAGCAGGGCAATGATCCCGAAAGGGTACGCGATGCATTGTACAGCACGGCATGGCATGGCGTAGAAGAGCACCGCAAAGCGTAGTATCAACCTAGCATTGCATTGCATGCCGTGGCATGCCACGGGAAATGACGCCAGCGCTGCAGCGGGAGCACGAGTCGAATCGAGCGGAAGCGCGGAAATGAGGCCAGCGCTGGAGCGGGAGCACGATTCGGAACGAGCGGAAGAACGGAAATGAGGCCACCGCTGCAGCGGGAGCACGATTCGGAACGAGCGGGGCCCGAAAATGAGGCCAGCGCCTCAGCGAGAGCAGCATTTTGAAAACAAATGCAAGCGAAAACCCAACTCCGGGGAAACCTGCGTGTAAAAAAACAGCACGCGGGGGGGGGGTCGAGCACTTTCAAACCGTCATCAGGGGAAGAGGGAGAGTAAAATTCATATTGAGTATCTGTTGATCAAGAAGACAGCGTGATTTGTTTCAGGCCGTAAGCGGAAAAAACCGATGAAGTCCACACAAGCATGATGTGGACTCGATATCTCAACATCTCGATACCTCGATATCTCGATATCAGGGGAAAAGGGAAGCAAGGAGGAGGGGAGTTCCGGAGGATGAGGAGTTGGAGTTGGGGGGGGAGAGGGGGAGGGGATGATAAGGAGGGCAGCGTGATTTTTTCCGGCCGTAAGCATGCTTACAGGCAGAAAAAATTGCCGCTGAAGCCCACACAAATATGACAGGGACTCGATATCTCAACATCTAGATGCCTGGATATCTCGATATCGGGGCATGGGGGGGGCGAGGCGCCGTACATCGAGCCCCGCCCCGAGCCCCCCCCTCCCGATATCGAGATTTCGTGATATCGCGTCCCCTGACACGATATCCCCCGATATCGCGATATCGAGATATCGTGATATCGTGTCCCCTGACACGATATCCCCCGATATCGTGATATCGAGATATCGTGATATCGTGTCCCCTGACACGATATCCCCCGATATCGAGATATCGAGATATCGTGTCCCCTGACACGATATCCCCCGATATCGTGATATCGAGATATCGTGATATCGTGTCCTCCCGACCCCCACCCGGGACGCCTTGTGACCACAATGATTGTTATTGCTATTGTCTTCGTTATTACTCCGGCTAGTAATATTACTAGTGCTATTACTAGTACTATGTCTTATTCTTATTACTATTACTATCACAATTACTATTCTTATTACTATTTCTATACTATTATCATTATTCGTACCTTTCGACGGTCCGCGCGGATTTCTGAGATCTGCGCCAGACCCCCCTCCCTGGCGCGGGCAGCGCGCGCGGGGCGGCGCCGGGGGCGCCGCCAGGGGGGCCCAGCGCAGATCCAAGAAATCCGCGCGGACCGTCGGAGGTGCATGTTGATGCCGTTTATGCTTCCTCTGGGTGGCGACATCCGAACCCTACCCACTCGACGGGAGGCGGGGGCAGGGCTCGGATCTCGCCACGTGTTCGACGAATTTCCGAAGCCTACCCCCGCCGCCCTTCGAGTTGCCTGAACCGTTGATCGGCGAGGGTATCCTTCGGACGTCGCCGCCGATCTTCGAGGCACGCCAGCGGCCCAGGACGCCGGGGCTCCCTGCAGGTGGCTGCGCTGGCGGTGCACAGGTGGCCGTTCCTGCCCGCAGAGGCACGGCCGCGGGAGGCCACCTCGCGGCGCGCTGCGGTGCGAGGGGCCTCCAGGCTCTGCCGGGGAGCCAGGCACACGCACGGTCTCGACTGCGGGCAGGTGTTCGGCGGCGAGCGAGAGCGGGAAGCGAGGAGGAGGAGGCATTCTCAGAAGGCGGCGGGGCTTCTCAAGAGGCCCTCCGGTCTTCTGAGAGGTTCTGTGTGTCTTCGGCCGGGATGGCTCAGGAAACTTCTCAGATGGCTCGAGGCCTTCCGAGCCGTCTGAGAAGGCCCCGCCCCTCTCACTTGCCCCCCCTGGGCTCGCTGCCGATCAATTGCGGATAACGTGTCGAGAGCACATCCTGCACGCCCACTGCCCGCTCTGCGTTGCACCCTCCAAGGCCGTCGTTAACAGCATCTATACGGCTAAATACTCGCGTGCGGAACGGCCGAGGCGCTGAACACGCGTGCCAAGTGCAAGAGAGCACCCAGCGCCGCCGGGGCCAAGCGCTGAAAACACCTGCGGCCGCACGGCGGGTTCGCGTCGTGTCGACCCCAGCGTTGGTTCCTGACACCGCGACGATCGTTCAACCTTGAACGATCGGCTGTTTTCGAAACGTCAGGACTTTCAACATCGACCGATTCTGGGTCGCCGGCGGCGTTCGTCGTGAAACGCCGGCAGCGGGGTCACCGCCGGTCGAAACGACGCGACCATACCCGAGCATGGGGGAAACGGGTCCTGAGGGAAACGGGTCCTGGACCCTGGGACCGCCTCCCAGAACGAGATCTTCATCCTGAAGCGTTTTCTGACAGTCCTGGGGCCCGTGGAGGAAGCCGAGAGCGCGGAACCGGCGAAACTTCAGGACCCGTTTCCCTCACGACCCGCTTCCCCCATGGCGACTGCCGCACGTGCAGCCAGCCCTCGCCCAGGCCAGCCACAACAGCTCGTCCCACTCAGCTCCACGCCCCACGCCCCGCGCCCTGCGGTGCGCGGCTCGAGCCATGAAGGAGGGGGTGACAGGTGCAGAGGTGCAGTCTTCGCTGCCCTCTGGGGCCCTGAGGGCCTCTTCAGAGGCCCTAAAGGGCCTCTCTTCCTGCAGCCTTCGCTGCCCCTCACCCCCACAGTACGCAACGCCCAAGCGCGACTCCCCAGACCTTTCCCCCCAATTATGTTGCATCCTCGGGGGACCTTGTCTGTCCTGTCGCGGCCCTGTCCGCGTCGAATCCGTGTCGAATCCATGTCGGATGCGTCGGATCCGTGTCGAATCCGTGTCGAATCCGCGTCGAATCCATGCCAAATCCGCGTCGAGTCCGCATCGAGCCCGCGTCGGGCCCCTCCAAAGACACCAATTTGGGGGACAGGCGAGGTCCCCCGAAGATGCAACAGAACCCCAGGTGTGCTCTGACCAGAACTTCGAGGCGAATCCAGCCGTGGCGGCGAGGGCCTCCCAGGAGACCCAGGAGAGGCATTCGGCATCGGTGCCGCTTCCCCCTCTGAGTATCAGCGTGTCGCCAGCGCGCTAGCCCCGAAGGTCCCCACCGCTTCCCCGGGGGAAGTCTTCGTTCCGGACCCGTTTTGGGTGGCCCCCTCGGACCCCAAAACGGCCCCTGGAGGCCCAAATCCAGGAAAAGCACCCACATGTGCAACACGTCGCCGCACCGTTTGCTCCGACGCGCGGCTTTCCGTCTTGGGGAGGGCGCCGCGGGCCCGGGCCAACGCCGCATCGGGCGCGGTGGGTCCGCCGTGGACTTGCCGCGGTGCCGGCGTCGTCTGCTCGGGCGCGGGGCACAGGGTTTGCCGTGGGTTGGCCGCGGGGTCGGCGTCGTCCACTTGGGCGCGTCGAGGATGCAAGGTGCTCTCCTGGCAACGGCAGGCCTCGACTTCAGACAGGTTCCCCGATCTGGACACAAGGGGCGGCCCGGAAACCTGAGCCCCCTCTGAGACAAGAGCGGTCCGCATCTCGGCGTCTTGACTGAAAGATGGTCGCAGGCCTGGCGTGTCCCACCCCCCCCGCCGCCCCCCCGCGCCGCAGGCTGCTCCGAGCGGCGGCGCAGCGGTGAGCCCGCTGAGCCCGCGGCGCGCCCCCCGCAGCGGCGCTCGCCCGGCCGCGGCCATCGTGCGCCGCGGCCAGGCCCTCGAGGAGCCCCAGGACCGACGGGTAGGCGGAGGACCACACCTTCGGGTCGCGGCCGCAGGGAACCCTCGCAAGAAACCCCACCCTGAAAACCCGCGCGCGGGGTGCATCTGAGGGGAAGCCCAGAGCACCCTGAACGCAGCAGCTTCTTCAACGGCTGCGGGAAGTCACCGCGCAGCGCGAGGAGCGAAGGAACCCAGGATACCCTGACGAAAAGCATATGGTTTCTGGTCTTGATGCGCGCCCCCACTGTACCGATACCGCGACTCCCCAGACCTCTCCTCCGCTGCGTTCTGACCAGACTTTCGAGGCGCATCCAGCGGTGGCGACGATGGCCTCCGAGGAGGCCCAACAAAAAAGAAGACAGGCGAAAAATAACGGTATGGCTACCTCTTCCTCCTCTGAGGAGGTGGGCGCGCGCGGTCACCGCGGGCTGCGGGCTGCGGCTGCGGACGGGGCCCAGACTTCCGGTCGTCGGTGTTGCTGAGGATCAGGAAAAAGGGGGATGGGTGGGCGAGCCAAGTCGGGAGGTCAATCACCCCCTCCTGGAGAAATGCCCCAGCCATGCCTCATCCAGAGTAGGCGGACCATACTTCCGGGGGTGCGCGCGCGGTGGCCGCGGGCTGCGGGCTGCGGCTGCTGACGGTGGTCAGTGTTGCTGAGGATTAGGAAAAGGGGGGGGCGGTTGGGCAAGCCAAGTCGGAAGGTCAATCACCCCCTCCTTGATGGGTGCCCCATCCAAGAGTAGGCGGACCACACCTCCGGGGGTGCGCGCGAGGTGGCCGCGGGCTGCGGGCTGCGGCTGCGGACGGTGGTCGGTGTTGCTGAGGATCAGGAAAAAGGGGGGGGTAGACAAGCCAAGTCGGAAGGTCAATCACCCCCTCCTTGATGGGTGCCCCATCCAGAGTAGGCGGACCACACCTCCGGGGGTGCGCGCGCGGGCGGTGGCTGCGGGTTGCGGGCTGCGGACGAGTACCCAGAACTCTGGTGGTCTGTGCTGTTCTGTCTGGGCGTTTCTCCTCGGTGTCGGCCTCCGGGGCCCACTCTCGGGACCCCCGCGGCCAGGCCCTGGAGGAGACTCTGGAGGGGGCAATCATCGCCCCCCCAGCCTCCCTTGGATCCGCGGAGGGGAGGGGAGGGGCATGCGCTGTCGGAACGGGTGGAGGAGGAGGAGGGGAGGAGGAGGACCAGTGCAAGTCCAAGACTCACCAACGATGTTGGAATTACCCCAGTGCGACCCTACCTAGGAGTTGGAGCCCCTAGGAAAGCAGCGTTAGTAGTAACGGTAAACGCCGTCCTCCTCCTTCTCCTCCTCGTCGTAGTTGCCTTTGTGTTTGCTTGTTGTTGCTGTTGCTTGGTTTTGCTTTTGGTTTGCCTTCGCACACATACACACACACACACACTCATGTTTTTGCATTCGCTCACCGGTCGGGCTCTCTGATCATACTGTTGCACATTGCTTTTGTGTTGCCTTTCATTTGCTTTGCTATTGATGTTGCTGTGCTTTGCTTTGCGTTGCTAGTGATTTGCTTTGCTGTTGCTGCTGTTGCTTTGCCCTTGCTTTGCTGCTGTGCTATGATATGGTATGATATGCTGCACTATGCTATGCTATGATATGCTATGCTATGCGGCGCTATGCTGCGCCATGCTATGCTACGCTAGGCTGCGCTATGTTATGCTAAGCTATGGCATGCTATGATATGCTGCGCTATGGTATGCTATGCTGTGCTATGCTGCGCTATGCTATGCTATGATATGCGATGCTATGCTATGCTGTGCTGCGCTATGCTATGCTATGCTGGGCTAAGCTAAGCTATGCTAAGCTAAGTTAAGCTAAGCTACAGCTAAACGAAGCTAAGATGAAGCTAAGCTAAGCTACGCTAAGATGGCATAAGCTAAGCTAAGATGAGATAAGCAACGCTAAGCTAAGGGGACGTAACTGGGGGAACCGCGGGGCGGATGCCGGGGGAACCGCCTGGGGCGGAGCCCACTGCCCGGCCCCTTTAAGCTCAGAGAGTAAGAAACCTTCTAGGCAGAGCCTAGGTAGGGAATAAACCCTCCCTCCAAGTTCCTTCTTCACGGGTCCCTGTACGAAGTCTTCTTCGCTCAAGGAAGTGCCTCGTTGGAAGACAACGGTCCAAAAATCCTGAGCCGTGCCAGAACACCATTCCTGGGACTTCAACGCCACGAATCAACATCGACTCGCGCCAGAACACCACTCCCTTGACCTGAACACCGCGAATCAAAGTTGCTGTTGCACTCTGACAGGTCTTTGATCATGCCGTGACACTGTTTCCGGGGCGTCAACCAGAACCACCCTTGAAACTGCTGCAGACTCTGAAAACGAATGCGCACGGCGCTTAGGCGAAAACCACCTTTTGGAAAGGTACCGCACTCCATCCGTGAAGCTCCTGCACACTTTAAAAAACGAATGTGCGCAGCGCTGAAACGAGAGCAACATTTCGAAAACGGCCCGCCCTCCATGTGTGAAGCTGTTGCAAATTCTCAGCTGAAGGTCGCGTCGGGCGGGGGCTGCGGGTCAGAGCCCCTCGCGGCATGACGAAACATATCCAGGCGAATGGCCCAAACATATGCAAGTGCGAGTGCCGCAAGGCAGGTGGGACGAAGGAGGTGCTGGTCCCTATGGGGAAACGAAGCGCAGGAGGAGTGTGCTGAAATTGGTGCGGGACTGCCATGAGGACCATGCCGCTAGGTCGGTGGAGCTCTTGATGAGACCACGAGACGTGTGAGGGATGTGCCGCATCGAGTGCGGGGCCGCCATGCGGACCCTGCCGCTGGGGCCTCCGGTGGAGCTCAGTAGGAGGCCACGAAGCGCGTGAGCGTAATGAATCTGATACGGGGCCGCCATGCGGACCCTGCCGCTAGGGCCTCCAGTGGAGCTCCCTACGGGGCCACGAAACGTGTGAGAGGTGTACTGACATGAGTGCGGGACTGCCATGCGGACCCTGCCGCTGGGGCCTTCGGTGGAGCTCCCTATGGCACACGAAACGTGTGAGGGGTGTGTACTCAGGATCGTGTGCAGGGCCGCCATGTGGACACCGCCGCTGAACCATTCTATGGAATTCCGCATAGGGTCACGAAGCGTGTGAGGGATGTGCCGAATCGAATGCGGGGCCGCCATGCGGACCCTGCCGCTGGGGCCTTCGGTGGAGCTCCCGATGGGGCCACAAGGCGTGTGATGTGCGTGCCGACATGGATGCGGGGCCGCCATGCGGACCCTGCCGCTGGGGCCTTCGGTGGAGCTCCCTATGGGCCACGAAACGTGCGAGGGCTGTGCCGGATCGGGTGCGGGGCCGCCTCGCGGACCCTGCCGCTGGGGCCTTCGGTGGAGAATTCTACGGGGCCACAGAGCATGTGAGGGGTGTGCCGAATCGGGTGCGCGGGCGGCATGCGGACCCTGCTGCTGGGGCCTTCGGTGTAGCTCTCTATGGGGCCACGAAGCCTAAGCGTGCGAGAGGTCTGCCGAATCGGGTGCGGGGCCGCCATGCGGACCAAGCCGCTGGGGCCTTCGTTGGACCTGCCCGTGGGGCCACGAAACGTGTGAGGGGAGATCCGAAATGGACATGCGGAGAGCAGAGGCAGGAATGGGAGGAGGGAGGCGGCGGCAGGAGGAAGGAGGAGAGGAGAGGAGCCGCGGAGTGCTGTCTCTTCACAACGAGGACCCAACACCACATGAGGGTTGGGAATACTACAAAATGCACATTGCACGATGTGTGAATTGGTGCTGGTGCTTCGGGCTCCATCCTTCTCAGTAAATACTCGGCACTGTGTTTCCGAAGGAGCCCTAACTCATTAACTCACTGGGGTCGGGGCCCCAGGCTCGGATGCTGCCTATGTGCTGGGAAGGCGGGTGTGAGTGAACGACACGGCTTGTTGCTTGGGGTAACTTGATCATTGCCCCTTATCTGTATACCCCCCCTCCCCCATCCGACCTGCGACAAACCAAGGACAGTGCGCCCCCCGCCACCCCTGCCAAAATATTAGCCTGGCGAAGTACCAAACCATATGCAGTTGTGAATACCGTCGTTGTATGCACCGCATTCGGAGGAGCTCCCTATAGGGCCACGAGACGTGTGAGGGATGTGCCAAAAATTGTCCGTAGGGCGCATGCGAAAGCAGCCACTGGGGCCGTCGGTGGAATTCCCTATGGGGCCACGAAGCGCGTGAGAGTTGTGCCGAAATAGGCGTGGTGGGCGCATGCGAACGCAGCCACTGGGGCCGTCGGTGGAGCTCCCTATGGGGCCACGAAGCGTGTGATGGGTGTGCCGAACTGGGTGCGGTGGGCGCATGCGAACCCAGCCGCTAGCGCCTTAGGTGGAGCTCCCTATGGGGCCGCGAAGCGCGTGCTGGGTGTGCCCGAATGGGCGTGGGTGGCGCATGCGGGCGGTGGTACTGGGGCCTTGGGTGGAGCTCCCTATGGGGCCACGAAACGTGCGAGAGGTGTGACGAAATTGATGTGGGTGACGCATGCGGGTGGTGGCACTGGGGCCTTCGGTGGTACTCCCTATGGGGGCACGAAACGTGTGAGGGGTGTGCCGACATGGGTGTGGGTGACGCATGCAGGCGGTGGCACTATGGCCTTCGGTGGAGCTCCCTATAGGGCCACGAAGCGTGTGAGGGGGTTGTGCCGACATGCGTGTGGGTGACGCATGCGGGCGGTGGCACTGGGGCCTTCGGTGGAGCTCCCTGCGGGGCCATGAAACGTGTGAGGGGGTTGTGCCGATATGGGTGTGGGTGACGCATGCGGGCGGTGGCACTGGGACCTTCGGTGGAGCTCCCTATGGGGGCATGAAACATGCGAGGGGTGTGCCGACATGGGTGTGCGTGACGCATGCGGGCGGTGGCACTGGGGCCTTCGGTGGAGCTCCCTATGGAGCCACAGAGCGCTGTACTGGGTGGGTAAAGCGCAGGGAGGAGGGAGGAGGGGAAAGAGGAGGAGGAGGGAGGAGGAGGAGGAGGAGGAGGAGGAGGAGTGAGGGACGCAGGGCGCTGTCTCTTCAAAGGATAAAGTCCCCCTCACT